GGTCAGCGTCGCGCGTGCGGGGGGGGGCAGGGGTGGCCGGTGGTATTTTTAAAATGAGTATTGTATCCGGATACAACATTTTAGTATCGATACTTTTTTAAGTATCGATACTTTTGACAACCCTAGTCTGAAATGTAGGACATGTCCGGGAAAAAGAGGACATCTGGTCACCCTACAGTTGGGTAAGCTAGGTAATCTAGGCTAGGCTAGGCTAGGTCATAGACATCGATAAACGTTTGTCATGCATCAACACCAAACAGTCAAATATAAGTAAATCAATACGCTTCGTCTATCAGTGAGTTGCACTTACCTCTAAATGTTTCCTCAGGTTTGACATAGATTGATTCGACGTGGACAAGTTCTTGATAGCCGGCAAACACTTCTTGCACTGCACGGTTAAATTTGGGCCATTTTCACAGATGTAAATTAAATGCTCCATAAATTTTCAGTGCTGAAAGACTGTCATTTTTGATGCGCTGCTTGAGCTGAAATAGAACCATCCGGTCTCTTGCTGTTCCTCAAAGAGGCTCCACCAGCACAGGACGGATCATCAGAGTGGCAAATATGATAGAGACAAGGAACCGTAGCGGGAACTGCGATAAATGGCGCGAATCAATAAAAATATCATTACATATTTCGCAAAGGTTTTTCTTTATATTTTTAAAAAAATTTAATTAAATTTGTAATTCTTAATATTTGTTTCGCAAGTAACTGTAACCAAATTACATATTTTCTCATTGTAACTGTAACGAATTACAGTTACTCTTTTTTTGTGATTAAATTACGTAACGTCGTTACATGTAATCCGTTACTCCCCAACACTGCTGGTGACTAACTAGATGCCAGTATTTATTAGCCACTGGGTGCGTTCAATCAACAGTCCATCCACCTGCTTCCTGAAAGAACAAAAAACAAATAGTGGACTAGACTAGAGACCCCTACTGGATAGGAGGGGACTGTACCCCCTCTGCAGACTAAAGCTTGGAGAAGTTTGATCATTAGTCTTATGTGTCATATTTTAATAACCTGGTTCCTGAAATCTATAGCATCTGAGAGCTTAAGCATCTTTTAATTGTAAAAACTTTGCCCAAAGTCAAAAGGACCTGACAACAGCAGGCAAAAGACTACAGACAATTATTACTCTGTATAATCACACAGGAATAGAAAATGAAGATTATGAAATCTTTATGTTTTTTTATATTACATTAAAGGGCCAAATAAAGTGTTCAGAAAACAAAATTGTCTCAATTTTTTCTTGGATCAGATTTGAAAGGGTTAACCAGTTTTAACTCGTGTTATCTGAAGCAGTTTGAACGCCCACAGAGCTGTCAGGATTATAAATAGAGCTCTTCCTCATCCGGGCACTTTGAAAACAGTAGAAACTACCGAAGAAAATCCATGTAGCTGATTTAGTTCATATTGTCTTTCTGAGATGGACAAACATGTAATTTGTCACATAAGAGTCTCTGCAGCTGAGGAGGAAGGAGAAAACTGAAGGTAAAGAGCTGCTGCCAGTATAATTATATGATATAAAATATAAAATCCTACACTCATTCTCACATCTTAGATGTCAGAAAATATGAAAGACATGTAATCTTTGTTCTTCTTCCTTTAAGAATTTCTTTTATGTATATCTCATGATTACTGCTCACATGAAGAGGAACGATGAGCAGCTCTCAGGGATTTAAAGCAGAATCAGCAGCTTTCAGCTCCCGCCGCTGTTAAACTGAAAGAAAAACAGGAGGAAGAACCCCGTCCATCAGGTTTTGTCTAAACCTGACAGGCAAGTTAGTTTTCTTTCCCCAAACTTAAAGCAGAGGAAGCATCACTAAATTAGCCTCCAAACCAGCTTTAATTAAAGCCAAAGAGTAGAAAAATCTAAAGCAGCCTGAATGGCCTCCGGCCTCACCTGCACAGGTGCATAATGTTGACAGAGTTTGGTGTGTTTCTGTCTTAAAGTTCCAGCTGGTGGCAGTTTGGAGTCAAACAGGCTGAGAAATGGTGACAATAATTCAATTCGTAAGCGTTTAAATCTGACAAATGCTGGCTGCTCACGCCTCCTTTGTTGTATGGCACTGAGCCACCAGCAGATCACAGACGGGCCCTTATTGTTCAATTGAAAAACACTGTTGAAGGTAGATTTAGTGTGTTGGACATCTCCTTCTGAATCACAGGCCATTCTAGAGGACACACTGTCCTAAACCAGCTCTAAAATAAGGTTTTGGTACGTGACGCTTTCACTGAGTGTTTTAAAATGTAACACTTTTACCAGAAAGTGTGACGTTAACTCTCTTTGTGAGAAGTATGGATTCCAGAGGAATGTAAAACAAGTCCACGGTTTTTTTCTGTTCTGCACTTTTAGCTCTTGTTTAGACTCTGTTGTGCTGCAAGAAGCGTTCTTTCCTCATATGAAGACACACATTGCTGTTTCT